CTGGTTGGTTGATGCATTTACATCCTGCCTTTCATCCAATGAGCTCAAGGCAGGATAAATTGTTCTTTTCCCTAGTTCAACCTTACAATCGATTTTGTACAAGAATACTGGGTCTCTCTGGAACCCTAGTCTAACGCTGTCACCAATACAGTGCACTGGCTGTCTTGCACAAGAAGATAAACCTGCCTGAAGACCCCCCCTTCCTTCCTAAAGTGTGGGGAAGGGTAGCAGCACTCTGCCTACAATTTATGGCTTATTCTTCTTCCAGTGATGGTGGTGGAGGAGGAGCTGACAGAGTTGCCAGTTAACCAGTCCTGGGATTGCTCTCTCTCAGCTGTTACAATTTACTCAGCTGTATAAATTCTTGCCTTGCTCCTTTCTGATAAATACTTATTGCTGTGTACAAAACTGCATTTAACGATTCCTTCAGGTTTAGCTCAAACCTGTCAGGTGGGGTGAAGCTGCGAGGAGATCCCTGCTGAGATTTTTTTTTTAGCTCTCACCACAGATTTCGTTCTGCGTCGTGCACAGGTGTTCAACCAGACCTCCCGCATTGAGAGCCAGCTCCTGGAGAACTCCCTGTCCACACACAAGTTGGAGAAGCAGCTGCTCATGCAGACCAATGAGATCCACAAGCTGCAGAACCGAAACAGGTAGGATGTTCTATGGGCCTGAGAGGGCCTCCAGGGCATGGCCACAGCATCGTGGTATCCTGGCATTTGCCGTTCTAAAATAACTTTGAGTTCTCATGTGCTGTAATTCAGAGAGAGGGCCTAGTGGAGAATTCAGAGTCCCCCCTCCCCCCCCCAAAAAAACCCCACACCATAGGAGATCAGGTGGCATCAACCTGCTGGCTGCATTGATTCATATATAGTCTTCTTTCCATGTCATTCTGAAGACGAAGCGGGGATTTGAATTCGGGTCTCCAGTCCAATACTCTAACCACGACACCACTGCCTGTCCTACCTCCATCTAAGTGGTAGATGGAAGGAGAGCTGGATACCAGCCAGATTGCTTTCTCTCCTGATAGGAAACATCTGCCTGGCTTCAGAGCTTGAAAAAGTTACGTTTTTGGATATAACCTCCCAGAATTCCTTATCTAGTCCGTGGTCATGATTTTTGGGGGGAATTCTCCTCCAAAAAAAAAATGTTTCCCAGTTTATAAAAGTAGGCATTGCAGAGTTTTGGATTTCTGGTTAAAGTTTATTTGGGGTACACAATAGAAGTGCAGAGATTCACAGAGGAGAATAGTGACCCAGATAGTCCACCCTTTTCTCATGAAATGGCGCTTAAGGTCTCAATACCTGTCTCTGAGACATTTGTAGGAGAAAGAATACAAAAGTTTCATTACTTACAGTTGTGAACAGAGCAACAGCAAACAAAGAACTAAGCAGACGGACTTCCAGCAGACTAAAGAGAGGGAAAGGGAACACTCAGCAGAGAGGCGGGACTCTCTTTGAATTCAAAGGTGGGAAGGAGTGGTTGGTTAGTGCTGGATAGATTGACAGTCACCCCCAGCCCAGAAAAGTCCCTTCCAGTCAAACAAACTACAAATAACATGTAAGGTTGCAAAAACTCAAACAGTATGTGCATGTGTGCAAATATCTTCTTTCTTAAGAATTTCAGGACTGCACTGAGCAGGGCCTGAAAGGGGTTGCAGGGTCCCATGGTCCACTGCTCCACCCAACTGTGCCAAAATCCGGGCTCCCTTCTGGCTACATGTCTTCCGAACCTAGGCAAGGAGAGGAGTGGAACAGAAAGGAAACACAAGGAGAGAAGAGGGGATTCCAAACCCCAGTTTCTCACAGAGGGGAAGAGACTGCTTTATCCTTCATCTTTTGCTTTGAGAAACCCTAGGACTGTCAAATTTGTGACTGGCTCATGGTTCAGAAATCTAATGGGGAGACTTTATATATATAGTCAAGTGTGTGTGTGTGTGTGTGTGTGTGTGTGTGTGTGTGTGTGTGTGAGGGACATGGTGACAGTGTGGTGCGGGTTAAACCCCAGAAGCCTCTGCGCTGCAAGGTTGGAAGACCAGCCGTTGTAAGATCAAATCCACGTGGCGGAGTGAGCTCCTGTCACTTGTCCCAGCTCCTGCCAACCTAGCAGTTCGAAAGCATGTAAAAATGTGAGTCGATAAATAGGGACCACCACGGTGGGAAGGTCACGGCGTTCCGTGTCTAGTTGCGGTGGCCACATGACCACGGAAACGGTCTTTGGGAAAACTCTGGCTCTACAGCTTGGAGACGGGGATGATCACCGCGCCCTAGAGTTGGACACGACTGGACTAAATGTCAAGAGGAATCTTAACTATATACAAGGTGACGGAGAAGCATTAATGGTTGCTAAGAGCCTCAAATTTGAGGGTGGACTGGGGTCTGAATACTCCCCCATCAGCTGAAGCTGGTCTAGAATATATATAAATCTCAATTTCTTTTCATTCCAGATTCAAAGACATTTGCAAGTATGCAGTAAATTTAAAAAAAAAAAAAGAACTGGCAATGAAAGTCTTCCTTTTCAATCCAGATGCCATTCTTATAGGAGAGCAATTTCTAATTGACTTCCAGAGGGGGTGAGCTGTCTTAGGGTGGGCTGGGCTCAACAGGGTTGCTTGGAGTAGCTGAATGCCCCTTGGGGTGACCCGGGTAGGGTGGTTTCAGGACAAGAAACCGCACCACAAAGTGACCCTGTTTAGCTCCTGAGTCCTCTTCTGTCTCCTGCTCTGCAGGGCGTAGGGAAAGCTGAATTTTGAAAGAAAAAAGTACAGTACAGGTAAATCAGAGGCCCCATGAACCAGCTTGTCACCAAGTGGCATAGCGCTGAACTTTAATGGGTGAAAAAAAGGGGGGGAAAGGCCTCCCTCATTATCATGGAAGGGAAACCGGGGAAAGCTGATGGGAGGGGGGGAAACATTTTTATTGGTAAGTGGCATGCAAGCCCATGACCAAGTGGCATAGTGCTAGACTTTAAAGGGAACAATGACAGAAAAATAGATTCCCCCACCCCATCTTCTTCTGTCTACACCTTAATGGGGGAGCAAGAGAAAATGGATGATGATGATTGGTGGCATACTGCTGACATGGGTGATTAGCTTTGTTCCAATGCCAGTGATCACACATGCTGGAGACTGAAACGAAATGGAGTCACCCTATTCCCACGAAGAGCCAAAAAAGTGCGGGTGGTAAGGCATGGCAGAATGTCATGGATTTGCCAAAAATATATTAAACCTGACTGTGCCAAAAGCAGACCCAAAGGTGGGATAAAATAATAATAATATAATAACAATATTGATTTATATTGCGCTCTATACCACAGCACATTCCAATAGTCAACGGCAGTTAAAATACAACCGTAACATAATGACAATGATATAACATGCAGTGAGCAATGATCATTCAATAAGACAACCATCCAAATCGCTATAAGAACAATATAATGATTAAAACGCCATCTGGTTATACCCTTGGTTTCTTGCAGCCAGAACAGTCTTGGGCTGCCTGAAAGACTCAGTTTTCGTGATAAATGTCTACCAAGGAGGCACAATTAAATCATCTTCAACGCTGATGAGGCTATAATTCTTCTGTTGCTCTAGGCATCGTTGGTCATTTCTCAACTGCCATGAAAGCATATCTGGGGGACCACCAAAGTTCTTTCTCTCTGTATGAGAGAGAGGGAGGGAGGCCTTATGTGTGTTTGAAGAATGATCACTAACCTTGTCAGAGACATGCATTCTCTACGAACTGATGGGATCCTTGCATAGGATCTTCGATGCACACAGTCTTCTGTGCCTGCTTTTCTGTGTCAAGTTGAGGTCACCTTCCACGGACTTTCCCGTAATGCTTTGGCAGGGTGTCCAAGACCAGGGAATGATCCCACGTGTGTCGCAGTTGCAAGCTTAAATCATCCTCTCTCACAAATTTGGAAACCCAGCCCGCCAAGTTGTAATAAGCTGCAATCTCTTGGTGCAAATTTGGAGTGTTCGCAAGAACGTACGGGAATTGCGCCATGGAAACTCAAAGTCCAGATTTTTCATCAAATTCTCTTTTAAAAGAGTGAATGAGTAGAGTTGGGGCTACCTCAGATGAGACCAAAGCTTAGAAAAGTTACTTTTAGACTACAACAAAGCAAAACCAAAGGGATTATGAGGCCCTCAAGACTGCCCGATTTATTTCAATGTGAGCTTTTGTGGCTACAGTCCACTCCCTCAGACATAGACCTCTTCCTGCCTTTGCTGACCTCTTTATATTTTTTAGAACTACAGTTCCCAGAATTCCCTCATCAGCAAGGCCAGAGTGGCTGTGCAATTGCAGGAGCTGTAGACATAAAAAGTCAAAATTTCCAAGTTCTGGATCTGGACCTTGTTGGGGGCGAAAGACCAAAAAACTGCTGTCCTTATACAAACAGAATGTATGATGTTAAAGTCTAGATTTAACATTTGGCCCTTGATGCCAATTCATTTCTCCCTTGAATTGCACAGACCTAGGAACATGGTTTTGGTTATACTTGTTTTTTCAGTCCATCCATCCATCCATCATTAGCTCCATCCATCCATCCATCCATCCATCCATCCATCCATCCATCCATCCATCCATCCATCCATCCATCCATCCATCCATCCATCCATCCATCCATCCATCCATCCCCCTGTTGTTGGCAGTGTGGCAATCCTGGTCTGATGGTGGTATCCTGCCCAGTCCTCTCTTCTGGCATGGCAGCTCCACACAGTGGCCAGGGAGGGTGCTGGTGTGTATTGGGAAGCTGGTGCGGGTCAGGGGAGGTGTGTATGTGTGTGTTAATCAACTGTTTATGCTTGCAGTTAACTTTTGAGGGGCCTAAGAGTTCTGCCCAGGGCCCCTAACCCCAGCATTGTTGAATGGAGGGGCCTAAGAGTTCTACCCAGGGCCCCTAACCCCAGCATTGTTGAAAGGGGAAGTGTATCTTTCAACCAAGGTTGGGAAGCACTGACCTATAATATCATGTTCCCTGGGGAATAACTTCAGGTTAGGATCCTTAACCAGCTGGATGAGACTAAAGATCAATGAAGTCTGGCACCCTGTTCATTAGAGAGAACAACAAGATGCCTTAGGGACGCCCTGAAGGAGGACTTTAGGGCAATAGCCCTCTCCCACAATTGGTGTCCAGTGGTATACTGCTTCTGAACATGGAGGTTCAGTACAGCCATCATGACTAATAGCTTGCCTTTCGCCACGTATTTCTCCACCCCTTTGTAAGTCTACTGAGTCCATGATGACCATTCTATCCTTTTCAAGTGCTGTCTGTCAGTTAATTAAAGTCAGTTAATTATGAATGCTGGGAATAATAGAGGCATTGTGTTGTGTCCCATTATCCCCGGACTGCATAACCACGAGAGTGCTGGCTGGGGATTATGGAAATAGCAGTACAACTCCTGGTAGGTTCTCTGTTCAGGAAGGCATTAATACCGTATTTTTCTGTGTATAAGATGCCCCCATGTAGAAGACACCCTCCACTTTTCTAACCGAAAATTAAGAAATCTAAGTGTGGTTTAGAAAGTGGAAGGGAAAGCAGCAATCAAAGCCCTGCAGGATCGCTTTGATCCCTGCTTTCCCCTCCACTTGTTTTTGTTCTCAACTCAGCTTACTTCCGTGTATAAGACGACCTTCAATTTTTAGTCTAAAGTATAGTCTTATACACGGAAAAAATGCGTTACTCATCCTACGGCAGCAGAGCCAGAGCTTTGGAAAATCTCCTTTCCTGAGCTAAGCGTGGTGAAAAAGGGACACGCTGGTTGTGCAGAGAGATCTTCTGGGACTTGTAATCCAAAAACGAGTCGGTGTTCTGAGCCCTCTGCATCCACGCGATCCCTTTTCTTTGCTCGCAGCATTTTAGAAATGCGCGTCCTGCAGATGGAGACCAAGCACTTGACCGAGATGGAGGTGATTCAGACAGAGAAGGAGCAGCTTCAGGAGCTGGTGGCTCACCAGAGCCGAACCATCGAAGGCCTGGAGACGTTCTTGCATGACGCCAACGCCAGCACCAGTCTGCTCCAGCAACAGCAGCTGCAGCTCCTGGAATCGGTCCAGAATCTGGCCCAGCTGGTCTCCCAGGGCAAAGGTGAGCTCAGAAAAGTGGATGGCTTACGCATCAGCAAAGAAACAAGCATAGGGAAGAGACAACATCAATCTGTTTAAAATTGGTTGTATTAAATAATATGTACAAGAGATGACTTAGAAAGGATGATTATAACTGAAGTGTAGCAGAGTTTTGAATTTCTGATAAAATTCATTTGCTCTCTCTCTATATATATGGAGACTGATAAACAAATAGTCAAGGAATACCTTATTACATTGAACGAGTTCAGATCCCCCAGACTGTGTCTGAGAAGGAAAATTCTAGAACCGGTTATAAAGTGGCCACTATGCAGGCACCTTGGAAACCATGCCGTAATAACTAGAAGCCAACACGGATTTGTCAAGAACAAATCCTGCCAAACTAATTTGATCTCGTTTTTTGATCGGGTAACGTCCCTCATAGACAGAGGGAATGCTGTAGACATAATATATCTTGACTTTAGCAAAGCCTTTGCCATCCTGATTAGCAAGCTAACTAGATGCGGGCTGGATAGACCGACTGTCAGGTGGATACACAATTGGCTACAGAATTGTACTTGGAGGGTGATGCTTAATGGCTCCTTCTCTGATGGGGAGGAGGTAACAAGTGAGGTAGATCCCAGCTCTATGAGGAAAGACTAAAAGAACTAGGCATGAGAAAAGAAGACAGAGGGGCGATGTTATAGCACTTTTCAGATACTTAAAAGACTGTCATACAGAGGCAGGATCTGTTCCCGTTCACCCCAGAGTGCATTACATGCAACAATGGGCTCAAGTTACTGGAAGCCAAATTTCGGCTGAATATCAGGGAAAACTTCTTAACTGTTAGAGCGGTACGACAATGGAACCCATCACCTCGGGGGGTGTTAGTGAGGGCTCCAACACTGGAGGCATTCAAGAGAAAATGGACAATCGCCTGGCAGATAACCTTTGATTTGTCTTCCTGCACTGAGCAGGGGGATGGACCTTGATGGCTTTGTACGCCCCTTCCAACGTCATCGTTCTTTGATTCTATGACTAACACCCATAACTGGGAAAGATGGAAAAACATCAACAGGTTTAATGGGCAGAAGTTGCTGAAGGCCGGCATCTCGTGGAGTTCTTTTCCTGCCTCGAAATGGTTCTGAGAGACCTTCCACCTCCATTTCCTTTATTTCCAGAAACTGGAGAACTTCTTTGTTAGGGATGAAAAATTCTTAAGGCATTGTCTTTCTCTTGCTAGTTCCCCCAAGGAAAGAAGACCGGCGATTCCAAGATTGCATGGCAGTCCGCCAGTCTGGACTCAACCTCAGCAGGGTTTACGCACTCCATATCAACAATATGACGGAACCAAAAAAGGTCAGTAAAATGAGGAATCTCACAGAGATCTTGATTCTGCTCTGCCTGGTGGAAATCACCTGGTCATCTCTGCCCCAGGTTTTCTAAAGCTAAAAATACCTTGCAGTTTTTATACCCTACCTAAGTAAAGGAGACTTGGCTAGGTCTAAGGTTTTTGGGAAGTGCCAGCACTATAGAAACAGGCTGTGTGAACCAACACAGAGACACACTGTTTCTCTCTTAATGGGGAAAAAGGTGGCATACTAATTTTATATCTTTTTCCTTGGTGGGTGCTTTAATCTGGTTTTTCCTTATTCATTCTCTGACTAACGTCTCAAAATAAGCTATTGAGACTGTAGGTGCCAGTTGATGAGAAAAAGGGATGGACTAATCTGGGGAGCTTGAAGCTAATTCTGCTCTGTGGATCCTTGCACTTCTGCTGCACGGCTAGAGAAATTCAACCAGACATTCAAATCTCCACAACAGTTTCTTCTCCTTCATCGCTTCTCTCTGTCTTCACAGGCCTTTTGCGACCTGGAGACAGATGGAGGCGGGTGGACGGTCATCCAGCACCGGGTCAATGGCAGCGTCAGTTTTCAAAAAACCTGGAAAGAGTACAAACAGGTCTGGCTCCATCTTGGACTTCTCACTTTCAATTCTTCAAGTTTGTTTGGCAAGACTCACAAAGAGAGAATAGCTTAATAAGAAGCTGATGGCATAGACCAAGATCCAGGTCTATAGAGCCTGTGTCCTGAGCACACTCCTCTACTGCAGCGAGTCCTGGACCCTTTGTGCATGGCAGGAGAGGAAGCTGAACACCTTCCATATGCGTTGTCTCCGACACATTTTTGTATCGCCTGGCAGGACAAAGTTCCAAATAGAGTAGTCCTAGATCGAACTGGAATTTTTAGCATGTATACATTACTGAAATAGTGATGTCTACGTTGGCTCGGGCACGTCGTGAGAATGGCTGACGGTCGGATTCCAAAAGATCTCCTGTATGGAGAATTAGTGCAGGGAAATCGCCCCAGAGGGAGACCACAGCTGTGATACAAGGATATCTGCAAGCGGGATCTGAAGGTCTTGGGAATGGATCTCAACAGATGGGAAATCCTGACATCTGAGCGTTCCGCCTGGAGGCAGGCAGTGCTTCACGGCCTCTCCCAATTTGAAGAGACCCTTGTCCAGCAGGCCGAGGCCAAGAGGCCATCCCGGAAGCAGCAAAACCAGGGAGCTGGATAGGGGACAGACTGTATTTGTCTTCAGGGTGGAAGGGATGGTCACTCTCGAATTGACCTTCTCAGCCACACAAGACGCTGTTCCAAGTCCTCCATACAGAGCACGTTACCATCATCTCTTGAGACTGAAGGATGCCTAATCTAATCTTTGGCAAGAAGACCATTAGCTTTATTGTCGAATTCGGCCCTTGGGAATCCTCTGAATATACAAATACATTTCTCTCTTCTAAAGTGCTGGGGTTTGGGATGCCAGACCCGTGTGTAGTGTGTAGATGAGTTTACTGAATTAACTAGACAACGTGCCCAGCCACCCTCCCGAGAAACCACATAGAGCCGCCATGCCATGCCAGGAGAGGGAGCCACCCATTATGAATGTTCCACTCATGTGTTTGTGTGTGTGTGTGTACACACATTCATATACACAGATATACAGTATATATTTATTTATTGAATATTGATTTATTCATTGGAACATGGCTTGATGGGTGGGAGGGGGGTACAAACCAAACCACGCTGCTCAAACTGGTGTAATTCAATTGGAAGCGTACTTCTTTCTGAATGGCACCGCTTGGGCTCTATCCTGTCGGTACTTATCGATGCTCTGGACCAAGATGCGAGCAACCCATTTACTGATTGTGATTTCCCCCTCCCCCAGGGTTTTGGGGACCCCGCAGGAGAATACTGGCTGGGCAACGAGGCCGTCCACCTGCTGACTAGCCAGGGCGCGTATTCGCTGAGAGTGGAGCTCCAGGACTGGGAAGGGAATCGTGCCTTCGCTCAGTACGAAAAATTCCGACTGGGGAGTGAGCGCCAGCGGTACAGGTGAGATGCAGCCTCTGCCGAATGGAAAAGGGAAGGCTTCTCAGGTGAGGTTGAGCCATGCAAGTCTGAGGTTGCAGATCAGGTGAAAGCCAGGAGGCAGTGCCCGTTGGGGGGGGGACTTCAAAGGCCCTTCTCTGGGTTGAGCTCCACACTTTTTCTGGGTTGGTCACCTGGTTTCATTTTTGGGACCCATCCATTTCATGATATATATGTCTGCATTTTTCAGTATATTCGAGGGGCTTCGAACCAATCCCCATCAGATATGGGGCCTACTGTACATAGCAACAGCATGGTCTCTGGCTCCCACTAGTGGCCAGTTCTGTTAACTTCATCGTTGATATCTCTCTCTCTCTCATTTTTGTTTTAATATGTTAAATATTTGCAGACCGTGGTTAAGTGAATCAGTGGATACTGATTCCGTGCAGAAAGGCATTCTACTATACATATTCTGCAGGGAATCAACAGGGATGGTGTGTGTGTGTATGTGTGTGTGTGTGTGGACATCAGATCCACAGAGGTCACCAAAGTGGCTCAGCCAGTCTAAAAATAGATATAAATAAAAGAGAGCCTAAAAGGTTCCTCAGGCAAGATCCAACCAAGGGCCTGTATGCAGGCCAGGGCTATCTCCTGACAGTGGCCAAGCAGACACGTGTAGGAAGCCTAGAACTAGGGAACTGAATAAATGCAATGGTCAGGCTCGGATGCAGAACTGGCTCCTCAAACACACTTCCGCGCAGTGAAAATGGTCTCCTGCAAGTCCATCTTGCACCGGAAGATGTTGGCTGCTGAACAAATCATCACTTTCCTCTTGTTTGGTGAGCTCAGCTCCGTTTCCTTGAGAGCCATCCATCCATCGAGGGCCTGAGCATGCCAGAACCCTTGATTTACACCCTGGAACTGAAGGGCATGTGAACAGAATTGGCTTGTGGCTTCTGGAAGCTGCCTCTTTTTGAGAAGTCCTGGGGAACATGGCATTCTCTCAGGGCGCCTCTGAGTCTGCCTCACCCCATGTCCAGAAAAAAAATGTGTTGTCTGCTCTGCTTTATCGGCTTCGTTTCTGGTGAGCCTTGGCAGAATTTGGGTGGTTCCCCCCCCCTTTGCCTCTCTCGGGGTCAAACTAAATGCTAACGTATTTCCTCCAACGGGTCCACGTTCCTTCTCACAGCTGGGTTCCCTCAGATGTGTGTGCCTCAGGAACCCGACTTGAAATGACCTCTCACAACACACACACACACACACATGCTAAAGGCAAGGTATGTAGCTGAACAGAAATATCTAGGAGAAAGGGACATGGTTCCTGGCTTTCAAAAGAGAACAGGTGGCTTCCCTTTGTGTTTCTCCTCTACCCAATGTGGGAGGTCATGATCGCTCTCTCCACAGGACGACAGTTGCTCTGAGCCAGAAGGCCAAGTTATGTATGTATTCTTCGGTTCTGCAGGCTCTTTCTGAAAGGCTACGCAGGGACCGCCGGGCATCAAAGTGGCCTGCCCCTCCAAGGGACCGGCTTCAGCACCCGCGACGCGGACAACGACAACTGCATGTGCCGATGCGCCCAGATGCTCTCTGGTGGTGAGGAAGCTGATGGTGTCCCTACCGGTGGGCTCTGTCTGGGGGGACAAAGGGGCTGAGTCGAGGGTAGGCCAGGCTGGCCACCCAGCAGCTTTGGAACTTACATATTCCAACTGGGAGTGGTTCAGTGGCTTCATCTCCTTGGGAAAGCCATGAATTCCCCTCCCTTCCCTTCCCTCCCTCCCTCTACCTCTTCCTTCCTCCCTTCCTTCTTTTCTCTACTTCTTCCTTCCCTCCCTCCTTCCTTTTCCTCTTCCTTCCTTCCTTTCATCCATCCATCAATTCATTATCAACTCCTTCCTTCCTTCCTTCCTTCCATCCATCCATCAATTCATTATCACCTCCTTCCTTCCTTCCTTCCTTCCTTCCTTCCTTCCTTCCTTCCTTCCTTCCTTCCTTCAATCCATCATCAACTCCTCCCTCCCTTCCCCCCTCCCTCTTCTCTCTCTCTCTCTCTTCCTGTCATGCCAAGCTATAGAAATTATGTTGGCTAGTTTGTATGTTTCATTTTCCAAACCAACAAACTAACCATGAACTATTCATTGAGCATGGTTTTATTATATACAGAAGCCTAGAAAATGTCCAACTGTGCAGACTTAATTTTGAAAACAACTACAAAAGTTAGAAAAGGAGGGATATTTCCTACAAACACTCGCGAACACACAAAGTGAGCAAATGTTGTCCCTTTCCCCACTGTTTGTTGTTTTCAAAGCATCTCACAAACCAGTTTCTGCCTCCATGTAAACCAGACGGTGGATCGAGGGGAGAAAGCAATGTCTGAGCTGTACCTGAGAAAGGCACCCCATGGAAGTTCTCCTTAAGCCACGTGGAACAAAACCCAGAGAGGATAATTTCCACCAGCTGGGGAAATTTCAGAACTTTGAAAAGTTTTTCTTTTCGGCTTACTGCTTCCAAAATCTCCACGCCAGCGTCATCATCTCTCATACTGACTCAGGAATTTGAGATTTATAGTCTGAAAAAGTCATCCCCCCCCCCAAATTCCCTTGGCATCAGAGAAGGACAGAAAGGATAGGGATGGTTAACCCTTACGTTATTGGTTGCCTTGAGGATGGATAAGAATTCTGATGGAAAGAAATCACCGCTGACCAAATTCAAACGTAGGTGAAGGTATAATTGACAGATTTCTTGGGAAAAGAAGACAGAAGGGTGATAGGATAACACTTTTCAAATATTTGCAAGGCTGCCATTCAGAGGAGGAACAGGATCCATTTTCCATCATCCCAAAGAGCAGGACATGCAACCATGGGCTCAAGCGACAGGAAGCCAGATTTCAGTTGTATATCAGGAAATACTTCCTAACTGTTAGAGAGCAGTATGACAGTGGAACCAGTGACCACCTCCTGGCAGATCTCCTTTGATTTGCATTTGTGCATTGAGCAGGGGGGGTGTTGGACTTGATGGCCTTACGAGCCCTTTCCAACCTCTATGATTCTGTGATCTGCACAGAGGACTGGGAGGGTGTCCACCTGCATCCAGATGTGCTGATCCACTGTTCCAGTACATACAGTACTTCAAAAAAACTTTTTTTCTCTCAGCCTCTCCATGGAGTTGAGAAATATCTGAGAAAATGGTTCTCCTCTCAACACTGGAAAATTAAAAGAGCAAACATTGTAATATGCATTTTACTTTGAATAAAAAGCCTGCCGTGTTTCAGATTAGCCTTTTTAGCCTTCTTCAAGGGCTTTATTGCATTCTTTCTTTCCTTCTTTCCTTCTTTCTTTCCTTCCTTCCTTCTTTCCTTCCTTCCTTCCTTCCTTCCTGCCTTGCTTCCTTGTTTCTCCGTTCTTCCTTCCTTCCTTCCTTCCTTCCTGCCTTGCTTCCTTGTTTCTCCGTTCTTCCTTCCTTCCTTCCTTCCTTCCTGCCTTGCTTCCTTGTTTCTCCGTTCTTCCTTCCTTCCTTCCTTCCTTCCTGCCTTGCTTCCTTGTTTCTCCGTTCTTCCTTCCTTCCTTCCTTCCTTCCTGCCTTGCTTCCTTGTTTCTCCGTTCTTCCTTCCTTCCTTCCTTCCTTCCTGCCTTGCTTCCTTGTTTCTCCGTTCTTCCTTCCTTCCTTCCTTCCTTCCTGCCTTGCTTCCTTGTTTCTCCGTTCTTCCTTCCTTCCTTCCTTCCTTCCTGCCTTGCTTCCTTGTTTCTCCGTTCTTCCTTCCTTCCTTCCTTCCTTCCTGCCTTGCTTCCTTGTTTCTCCGTTCTTCCTTCCTTCCTTCCTTCCTTCCTGCCTTGCTTCCTTGTTTCTCCGTTCTTCCTTCCTTCCTTCCTTCCTTCCTGCCTTGCTTCCTTGTTTCTCCGTTCTTCCTTCCTTCCTTCCTTCCTTCCTGCCTTGCTTCCTTGTTTCTCCGTTCTTCCTTCCTTCCTTCCTTCCTTCCTGCCTTGCTTCCTTGTTTCTCCGTTCTTCCTTCCTTCCTTCCTTCCTTTCTTCCTTTCTTCCTTCCTTTCTTTCTTTCTTGGGACAACAATTTTAAGCATTTCCATACAATTAAAACTATCATATTGAACAACCTAGTAGTCAAAAGAAATAGAATCACAGAATCGTGAAGTCGGAAGGGGCTGAAAGCCAAACCAAAAGAGATCTGACAGGCAGTTGCCTAAGTTTCTCTTGAATGCCTCCAGGGTTGGAACATCTCACCTCCTCCAAGGTCACTGGCTCCATTGTCGTACTGCTCTAACAGTTAGGAAGTTTACTTGTCCCAGCCCCAAAGAATTGCAAAAAAAAGCTGCAAAAATTTGGACGTGGGTTGGGCATGGATTGGAGTCTACTTCCCAGATCCCGTTGGGAGAGTGGGTGGGGTAAAAGGAGATGGAGGGAGGCTATGCCTAGTTTTCAAGGAGGACCAGTCTGGGAGGCTTTATGGAGTGGGAGATCTTTGGGGGGGCAAATTGGGGGAGCTGGGGGTATTCGGCCAGGGTGGCAAAACCAGCCATTTTGATTTGGCCCCGTGCTCCCTCCTGCCAATCTAAATTTGCTTCTGATCTTTCCATGCACAGGCTGGTGGTTTGACGCCTGCGGCCAGTCCAACTTGAATGGCATCTACTATCCGGCCACCCACAATCTACGGAAACTGAACGGGATCCGCTGGCATTACTTCCAAGGGCCGGGTTACTCGCTGAAAAGCACGCGGATGATGATCAGGCCTTTGGCCAGCCGTGAAGTGGCCTAACAGAGCCTGGCCGGTCCCCCTAACTGGAGGGAACCATCCTTGACCTACGCCAAAGGGGTCTTCGGCTTTTGACGTGTGGCCACAGAACTATGGTGAACTATGAGGATACCATGAATTTACACCTGCTTCAGAGAGAAAAGGGAGGGGCTTTCGGGTTTATTTTTTTGTACTTCCAAGGAACTCCCAAGAAAAGGCAGAAAGGACTGCTCTATTTCTGTACGTTAACATCTAAACCTGACCTTTGGCCGGGGGAAAACAAACTTAACTGTATATTTTTCGAATTATAGCTTGTCTAAACTCAAGAGTAATCTAGAAAGACATTTTACAGTTCAGACTTCTTTTGAACAGAGACCTGCCTAATCTCTCCTAACTCCAGTTACATTTCTGCCACTCTGAAATGACATGCTCTGAATCGTTTGTACCGTCGTTGGCCTTGCTCAATCGGAGCAGCACCATCGGCTTTGGAAACCCTCGGTACACTTTAACCCAGAGCTGCAGATAAGAAAGGGCCTTTCCTGCTAAGGAAGCGAGCGGCTGCATGCTCGGAACAGACATTTTGTCAAGAGAAAAGACCCAGCCGATTTGACAAATGCAATCCCTACAAAAAAGAGAGAGATCCCTGTTTTGCCACTCCCCGGATGTTGTTCTTGCAGAAAGCCGAAAGGGGTTTCCTTGCCTGCATTCTGTGTCATTGTCTTAAATTGCCAAGTGTCTTGTGAATGAAGCTCCCGCTTCCCACTTTCCAGCTGACTTCTTGGGATCCTCCTATTCCTGCAGGAGAAAATAACCATGTGTTGTTGTTTTTTTAATGTGTCCAGGAAAGATCCATGTTGTATTCCTGTTTAACTCATGTTTTCTGTGGACCGGGACAGAATGAAGAGTATGGCAGGTCCCCCCTCCAACAGATTTTGTCCATTTGTTCTTTAGGGTCTGTTCTGCTCTCTTCCTGAATTCTAGTTTTCTGGAAATGATTTCTAGAAGTGATTCTCAGAACTAAAGTGTGTCGGCATCTTGGTGTGCGCTGATAAAACCCTTCCCCCAAAATGCGCGCAGCACCAGCAGCGATGAGGTCGGTGTGATTATTATGTACCGTTGCACCGAGATTCTTTGGATGCAATGTTTTACGGATGCTCGTGGATGCTCCCAGGTGTTAATAAAATTCTCTATGCAAATCGAATATTAATGCAGTCAACTGTAGCAAAGTTGATTGGGAGGGAAGTAGTATTTTATGAAAGCAAAAAATATATATATGTCCATTCAGACTGGTTAAATGGTGCACAAAAATAATCGTAAAACAAATGCACCAAGTTTGCCTGTTTTGCAGTGTTTTATGTATACCCAATGTGGTGTAGTGTCTAAAGTGACAGACTTTGGGCTCTGGAGACCAGAGTTCGAATCTCCACTTCTCCTTGGGAACTCTCTGGGGGTATCATAAACTCATTCCTTAAATATCTTGCTTACTTTGAAAGCCCTATTAGGGTCGCTATGACTCGACAGCACATAACTAACTAACTAATGAGTGCTCAGCTGGCTGGATAGCTCAGTGGTTATCTGGCTGTGGAGCCAAAGGTTGGGAGTTTGAATCCCCACTGGGCTCCAGAAGAAGAACCAGCCTGGGTGGCCTTGGGCCAGCTGCACACAGTTCCAGGGCACCCCCTAGAGGAAGGGAAGGGGAAACCGTTTCTAAGCATTCTCTACTGTGAAAATTCTGGAAAAAGTCACTATAAATCGGAATTGACTCGATGGCCTGCAGTGAGTGCTCATTTGTGTGCTCTTAAAGTAAACAGAGAGGAAAAGAGTTCAAGGAATTGAAAAGGGTGCTCAACAGGTTAGGCCAAGCACTCTGTACAAAATCTGGAATTTGAAAATGACGGATCCTTCATGTGCCAGTTGCATGTTGGATTTTAGAACATCAGAGAGAAATGGGGATGATGAGAAAACAGGGAACCTCAGATGTCTTCCCACCTTCAGGAAAGGTACAGCTCTTTTGCAGTGTTTATACGAGGGAGTCGTCCAGCGTCGTTATGCTCCTGTCGTTAACAGCAGAAGGAATCGTGAACATCGCAGACGTGATTTCTTTTTTAAAAAATTTAACTGTTATTTTTAATAACTT